TGTGTGTGGGCTTCCGTCGTGGTCTACGCCTCAGGGGAGCAGAACACGGTATGGCTTGTTTTGTTTGTTTTTGTTTTATGGGGCCGCAGGCAGACGTTATTTTGCCGAATCTCGTGAACAATCTACAGGCGGTACTTAGTCTCACCTTACCACGGTTGCTCAGACTATTATGTCTCTTATGCCCAGAGGGGTGGGAGCGGGCAAATTTCGGAAGACGGGTGCGAAAGAACGCTTGCGGTGTGAGGGGTGGGGGGGGAGGTGCAGTTTCCAACGCTTCAGTTATTCAGCAGATTGCCCTCTCATCCTCCGCACTCTCATGTATTTGTATGTGCTCGCCCTTTGTCCACTTGTGCTCTCAAGGGCGCCCTTGAGCCACCTTTCAGGCGGCCGGAACATATAGTCACACATCAAGATTCATCTACACAGATCCGTAGCCATTGTTGCTCAAGCCTTTTGTGTTCACGCTTCGAGTAGTGTCGAAACTTGCCGACCCCTGCGTGAAGAATCATTCTCATCTGAGCGGGCCCACCACAGCTTTGTCATGGCGGCGGTAGCGATATGTGTATCGGTTATGGCCGTATTTTCTTGGCGTGGAGAGGCGGTGGATTGCAAAACTGATGGTACCGATTATTCGTACACGGAATCAATCTCTGGTTCCAGGCGCACGGTGGTGACCAATCATTGTCCAAACCACCCTTTTTTTGATTTGAATCCGAATACGGCAGTGAAGGAGCAGAGGACATACACGATTCCGGCGATCCCTAGATACGTGGGCGCGTACACAGATTCTTCCACTTCCTCAGCGCACATCGACCTCTCATCGGTGGGTGGCGAAGTCGGCGTGTTCTTCAATGCGGCCATGTTGTTTTCCCCCTACGGTGGCCCTACCTATGGTACCACAACGGGTTGGACCACCTCGGCTACATATGCGGAGGGTTCCACATTTGACCCGTGCGGATGTCATGGATCGAAGTCGGATGAGCCATCGTACCACTGCCATGTGCCACCCAGTTGTCTGTTGAACCAGTTGGGTCAGACGTCTTCGGCCCACTCCCCCCAGATCGGTTGGGCGTTCGACGGTTTCCCGGTCTATGGCCCGCGCGGTCCTTCTGGCAGGATGATGCAGACGTGCACTGAGACAGGAGGGACATACGGGACAGACGTGTGCACAGACGATTGTGGCGGATACTATCAGGCTGACGGCTCCATTGACGAGTTCGTGTACAGGTACTACACGCTTGGCCAGTACAACGATGGCACCAGCTGTGTCGCACCCGGCTGCTCGTCACCCACGTCTGAGTTCTTTCCCAACACGATGATGTGCTACCGGGGCTGCTGCCCCAGTGGAGTTTCGTGCCACAGCTCGATCACGAGTTGCCCAGGCTCGGGCACCTTGGACGGGGTCACGAGCGATTACGCGGCCTCCGTGCCCACTGTCAACGGCTTGTCTGTGGCCTCGGGGCTCCCGCTGAACACCGCGGCCTGCGACGACGACGACATCGCGTGCGGCTCCTGCTCGGAGTGCGAGTGGCGCCAGAACAAGTGCGGCGTCACCGGCCCGAGCACGGGCTCGTGCACGGGCATGGCAGCCACGCCCGCGCCCCCTGCGCCGCCGACGCCCGTGCCCACGCCCGCGCCGACGCCCGTGCCCTCGCCCGCGCCGACTGCGCCGCCGACGCCCGCGCCGCCGCCGACGCCCGCGCCGCCGCCCACGCCCGCGCCGCCGCCCACGCCCGCGCCGACGCCGGCGCCGACTGCGCCGCCGACTGCGGCGCCGGCACCCGCGCCCACGGCCAAGCCGCCGACAGTGAACCAGGCCTCGGGAGCGCCAGCATGGCCGAGCCGCTGGCGAGGGGCCCTGGCGCTGGCCGCCGTCGCGGCGTCGCTGTGAGGGTGCTGGGCCGTCCGTGGCGCGCGCGCGCGTGCACGAGTGTGCACGCCACACGCGCGCACGAGCGCGGGTGTGGGTGCATGGCAGCCCACGGTCACGACTCAGAGATCTTCACCAGCGTTGACAGGGTTACTGTTCTAATCGAGCGTTTGGCCAGAAGTGCCAACATTTCAAGTTGTCGAGAGTAGCCCTGCCAGGCCACCGCAGCGCGAGGGGGCGCACCGCAAACCCTCCTGTGAAAGGCTCGCGTTTTGAGTAGAGCACTGCTCGCGCAACCTACCCACCCCCTCCTTCGCCTACATCCTCCTGCTTCTGTACGTCCTCCTGCATCGTGTGCGTCCTCTTGGGGGCGGCGAGCTACGCAACTGTCGCGACTTTCGCGCTTTGCTGGGAGGCAGTGGTGGAGGTGAGGGCCACGGGGATCACTTTGAGACCTCGCGCCCGCCTCGGGGGTTGCGAACTGCGCAGCTGTCGCCGTTTGCGCGGGCTGCTGGGATCCACGGTGGAGGTGAGGGCCGCGGGGATCACGTTGAAACCTCGCAACTCCCTCGGGGGCTGTGAATTGCGCAACGTTCGCCACTTTCGTTGCCTCCTCGGAGGCGCGGCGGAGGTGAGGGCCACGCAGTTCATATGAGAGTCGTGTGCAAAACCATAGAGCTCCGGGGTTGGTCTGAAGGTTTTTTGTTGGCATCGTTGGGAAAGGGCGTAGGTTTGCACTGTGACATCGCGATCTGAGTGAGGGGTGCGTCCGATCTTCAGATCTCCAACCCTGATGTGTTGGGTTCCCGTTTTGACCAGATTATAGTTCGCGCGTCCCGCTCCTTTCTTCTTCCTCCCGCCTCCTCCATGCCTCCTCCTCCTCCTCCTCCTCCTCTTCCTCCTCCTCCCCCAGTCTTCCTCCAATCCTCCAATCCTCCTCCTCCCTCTCCTGCCCCACCTCCTCCTCCTCCACCTCCCCTCCTCCTCCTCCTCCTCCTCCTCCTCCTTCGCCTGGTCCTCCTCCTCCTCCTCCTCCTCCTCCTCCTCCTCCTCCCTTCTCCTGCATCCCGTGTGCTGCCCCCGGGGGCTGCGAAGTGCACAACTGTCGCCACTTTCGTGGGCTCCTGGGAGGCACGGCGGAGTGCAGGGCAGCGCGGGTGACGGCGTGACCTCGCGGCTCGGTCGGGGGCTTCGAACTGCGCAGCCGTCGTCACTTTCGAGGTCTCCTGGGGGGCAGGGCGGAGTGCAGGGCAGCGCAGATCTTGCATACCTCGCAGCGTGGTCTTATAGAGGTTTCGTACAACTAGTCGCCTCGCGTGAATAATGAGTTGGGTACGCCTCGGGTATAATGTTTGATCTGTAGTATGTTTCGATAGTCTCAGGGCTGTCTCAGTGATGTGGGCATTCACCGAGTGCTCTTGCCTCCGAAGGGGCCGTCTTCAGGCCTCCCTTGGGCTGTCTTACTCATCTTACGCTCCCCTCCCCACTGGGCGAAATTGTCTAACTGACTCTTCACGCTTCGCCGATCCCCACCAGTCCGTTCAGAACCCAGGCCCATGAGTGCTGACGGAAAGAGATGGAGACGCACATGTGGTGAAATAAAGGCGGCAACCAGAATGAACAGAGAGGTCTTTGTGAGCAAGGGGCTGGCCTTGGAGGGCCCGACGAGGCCATCCCTGGGGCCAGGAGGAGGAGGAGGAGGAGGAGAAGGAGGAGGAGGAGGAGGAGGAGGAGGAGGAGGAGGAGGAGGAGACGGGGCACCCCCAGAGCACCGTCCGCAACATTGCTTAAAAGGGTATGGGAATCGTATCGTTTTCGAGAGTCTACACGCGGGCTCGGAATATTGCTAAACGCATGGGAAGCCACGAGTCGGCGCGACGGGCGGGGCAAGCCAAAACCCACGGACACGGCGCCGCCGACGAGACGTGGTGGCCTTGGGGCATCGTGCGAATTCTTTCCTGAAGGGTACGGTAATAACACCGTTTTCAAGAGTGTACGCGCGGGTCCGAAACAAAACAAAACGCATAGGAGACCACAAGTCGGCGCAACGGGCGGGGCAAGCCAAAACCCGCTCAGACGGCGCCGTCGATAAGACGGGGCGCCCCCAGGGCACCGTCCGCAACATGTCCTAAAGGGTACGGAGATAACATCGTTTCCGAGAGTTTACGCGCGGGTCCGAAGCCAAACACAACGCATAGATGGGAAACCACGAGACAGCGCAACGGGCGGGGCAAGTCAGAACCCGCTGTGACGGCGCCGTCGACAAGGCGGGGCGCCCCCAGGGCACCGGTCGATATGTGTCCGACAGGGTGCAGCCGCATGGCGATGCGCGAGCAGGTCAACCGCGAGTCACGTCGTCGGCGTCGGTGTCGTCGCCCTGTCGCCGCCGAAACAACCGACCGACGACGCCGCCAGTGCCGGCTTTCGCCTCTACGAGGCCATCGCCGCCATCTGGGCTTACGAGCTTCGAATGCTTTGAAAACGTTCGGGCGCTCCTACCTCTGGGCGTTGCTTGTGCCGAACGCGAGGCCCATCAGTCAGGCGTCGAAAGTGAGGCCTCATTTTGTTGGCAGTTCACCCGAGGCAACGGCGCCGCGATCATCGACCCGCCCAGCCCCCAGCGGGGCCACAGCGGCGCCGTCCTAAACCCTCGCCGCGACGCCGTCGATGTCCATCTCGACGACGGTCTTGCGGTCGCTGCGCGGCCCTTCGGCGTGGCATCGCCCCGCGAATTATGCGATGATTGCGACGGCGATGACGACCCTGCTCTGGTAGAGGAAGAGGGCGAGATGGGGCCTCCAAACATAAACTACTCAAGAGGCTAGCAGGTCACGATTGCCGACCCGTCCAGCCCCTGTGGACACGCCGGCACGGTCAAGGACGTCTCCAGCGAGCGCGTCGCTGTCCAGCTCGCCGAGGACCTCGCGGTCTTCACGCGCCTCTCCGACGTGGCTGGCTTCTGGTAGACCCCCCTCGCCCGTGGCGGCGACGACCGCGCTGGCCCCGCGAACGTCCTCACTATTCCTGGCCAGGACACCCTGCTGCCCGCGCCTGCCCCCCGCCCGGCTCACCCCAGCGAGCAGCGCGCAAAATCTGGCGCGGCGTCTAGGCCAGCCGCGGTGCGCCCGCAAGGACTTCAGCAGCCTTCCCGCTGGCACCTGGTCGACCGCCTCGGGCCCCCTCCCTGCGGCTCCCGAGGCGCCTGGCCACGGCCTCTCCTCTTCACCCCCCCCGCCCACCCGCGCTGGGTCCCGCGCAGATGGGGCAGGGCGAGGGTGAGGGCGGCGACGGGGATGTAAACGACGACGTTGGCCTCGAGCAGGTCGCGCTCGACGCCGCCCCCCGCGCCGCCGCGACGATGCGCGACCGCGAACAGCCCCGCGCCACTGCGACGGCCGGCGGTCACGCTGCTGGCCGACGGCTGCGACGCGCCAACATCCATCGCGCGACCAGCCGTCGCGGCCATGCCAGGGCGACTCCACGGACGTCCGACTCCACAGTCCGACTACACAGCGCGCGCACTGTCTGACCCCACAGCAGACCGACTAATCTACCATTTCTGACGGCCCCGCTGCATCGGGCGCGCCGCATCCTTGCCTCACCAGCGCGCTGCCCCTCTGCGTGAGCCGGGCCCGCAGCTGTTGCGGTGCGGGCGCCTGTCGCGCTCCCTGCTGCTGAGGTCGCGCGCAGCTGCCGCGGCTCTGAAGCGGGGGTGCCGCCCGCGGGCGCTCGCTGGCGCCTTGGGTGTTTCAGCCCGCTCTCCTGTGCATCGGTCGTCTGACGGTGCGTCCTGTACCGTCCACTGTTATCCTTTCACGTTGCGCTGCGTGTCCTCGCTGCGCCGCGCGTGCCCGCGTTGGGCCCGCCGCGGCCGTGGGCCCCGCTTCTCGCCCGCCCGCTCGCCCGCGCGGCCGCGCGTCGTCGGGGCCTGGCTGCGGCGGCGGGGGGCGCCCCGTCACTCGCAAGCCGCTCAGCGGTCGAGCCCTTTTCCCCTGGCCGCCAACCAGGGCTTCGCAGACCCGGGCCCTTTCCCAACGCGGGGCGCCGAGAGATTTGGTTCATCGCCTGCGCAGCGCCCCGTCACTTGCCTCGGTCGCTTTGCGCCGAGGGGCGGTTGTTTCAACGCTCCCCGCGCCCCAAGGTGTGCGCGGCCGCCGAGAGTGCGATGGCGGCCTCGGCTACCGCAGTAGCCGCCCGTCGACGGGACTTCCGTTCACTCGTCCGATCTCTCTCTCTCTCTCTCCCTCTCACGCGCAATAAGGACCTTTTGGAGAGCGCAACGAAGGGATTCCATTGAAAAGCCCCAAAGCAGGAATCCTTTTTGGAAAGCACTACAAATGGATTCTGTCTGAAAGCCTCGCAACAAGAGTCTTTCGGACAGCACAGCAAAAAGGATCAGATAGGAAAACCTTGCAATCGGAATCCTCTGGGAAGCACCATGAAGGGTTCCCTTTGGAACGAGTCACAAAGGGAATCCTTTGGAAAGCTCCAAGAAGGGATTTTATTGAAATGCCGCACTCCGCATCCTTTTGCGGGGGCTCACAAACTCATTCCTGTTGTGGTGCTTTCCAATGTAATTATTAGTTTTGTGGTGCCTTCCAATGGATTCTTGTTGCGGTGCTTTCCCATACCATCCGTTTGTTATGCTGCTCAAAGGATTCCTGTTGTTGGGCCAGTGGGCTCCTTCTGTGGTGTTTTCCAACGGATTCCTGTTTTGAGGCTTTCCAGTGGGATTCTTTTGTTGTGCTTTTCCAACGGAATCCGATTGCGGGAGAGAGAGTGGGGAGAGAGAGAGAGAGAGAGAGAGAGAGACAGAGAGCAGGAGGTGAAACGAAAAAACGAGGGAATCAGCATGAAACGGAAGTGGGCTGAGTGCTTTGCAAAGGTTTGCAGCATGAGCCGCTTGTAAATCGCAACAACAATGATGCGATTGGAAACCCTCGCATGCTGAATCCTTTGGGAAACAGCACAAACGGATTCTTTCAGCGAGAAGCCTTACAACAGGAGTTTTTCGGACAGCACAACAAAGGGATTGAATTGTACAGCGTCATACCAAGAATTGTGGATAGCAACGCGCAAATATTCTATGGGAAATCCTCACGTTTGGAATCCCTTGAGAAGCACCACGAAGTGATTCCAGTGGGAAGCCTCGCAACACGAATCCACTACAAAGGGCTTCGACCAGAAAGCCTCCCAACAGGAGTTCTGTTTCCGGGAAACCTTACGAACCAACAGCGATTTTATATATATATATATATATATATATATATGAATTTCAGACAATGCGAATTTCTGGGACAGCACCACAAAAGGAGAACCAGAACGAGGAATGATGAGGACAATGATGATACTGAGGAGAATGAGGAGGATAAGTATAATGAAGACTCATGAGGATAAGGCGGATGACAATCAGGATCATGATCATGAGGAGAATGGGGAGAGGGATGGGGAGGATACTAAAGAGGGAAAAACGGGCGGAAGAGGATACGGGCGGAGGCAAAATCTATGATCACGAGGGGGGGGTCTACATTTGTGTGTGTGTATGCACACACATATTTTATATACATATATGTATAGATGCTGCGCCTCTTGCTGGCATGCAAGCATGCAAGCATCTTGCTGCGCCTCCGCCTAGCGGCGGCCCTGTACATGCGTGTGGCTGACGAGCTTGCTTGGGTTATCGCGTGAAAGAAACAGTTGTGTGTATACATATACACACATACATGCACATGTAAGTATGCATGCATGTATGCATGTATGCATGTATGTATGTATGTATGCATGCATGTATGTATGTATGTATGCGTATGTATGTATGTATGTATGTATGTATGTATGTATATATATATATATATATATATATATATATATATGTGAGTGTGTGTGTATGTGCATCCAGATGTGTGTGTATACATATATATATATATACATGTGTGTGTATGTGTGTGTATATATATATATATATAGGGGCAGTGCCCCAGCCCACGGCCCCCGAGTGCGCGTGGCCGCCCCAGGGCACCCCGAACCTCCTAAGACTGGCCCAGCATAGCCCCCAGTACGAACCAAGAAAACCGAACTCGCTGAAATATCGTTCCAAGACTCCCAAGATGGCCTACGGCTCCAACACGGCCCAAGGGGCCTCCAAGAGCACCCCCAAAAGGCCCGAAGAGGCACAATTCTTTACGCTTCGCGTATCCCCACCAGCCCATCTCTCAACAGCAACTCTTGCGAAGCATGCCGACAGTCGTGTTTTTCAGGCGTGTTTCCGCCTGCCCCCGCATATCTCCCCCGTTACTCCTTCCTCCCGCCTCCTTGTACATCCTCCTTGTGGGGGGAGCGGGAGAAGGACGAGGCGGAGGAGGAGGGAGAGAAAGCGCGCCTCGTGGTTTGAGTCGTTTGGGGTTTCTCGTCCTGGTGTGAGTCGTTCGGGCCCTTCTTCCTGGTGTGAGTCGTTCGGGCTCTTCGTGGTGTGAGTCGTTCGGGCTCTTCGTCCTGGTGTGAGTCGTTCGGGCTTCTCGTGGTGTGAGTTGTTCGGGCCCCTCGTCCTGGTGTGAGTCGTTCGGGTCCCTCCTCCTGGTGTGACTCGTTCGGGCTCCTCGCGGTGTGAGTCGTTCGGGGCCCTCGTCGTGGTGTGAGTCGTTCGGGCTCCTCGTGGTGGCTTGTATGAGCGCTGCCCCTCCTCCTGGTGTGACTCGTTCGGGCTCCTCGTGGTGTGAGTCGTTCGAGGCCCGCGTCGTGTGTGAGTCGTTCGGGCTCCTCGTGGTGTGAGTCGTTCGGGCGCCTCGTCCTGGTGTAAGTCGTTCGGGAACCTCTTTGTGGTGTGAGTCGTTCGGGCTCTTCGTGGTGTGAGTCGTTCGGGCCCCTCGCCCTGGTGTGAGTCGTTCGGGCTCGTGGGGCCTCTTGGGGGCCTCTTGGGGCCTCTTGGGGGCCTCTTGGGGGCCTCTTGGGGGCCTCTTGGGGGCCTCTGGGGGGCCTCTTGGGGGCTTCCTGGGAGCATCTTGGGGCCTCTTGGGGGCCTCTTGGGGCCTCAGGGGGCCTCTTGCGGGCCTCTTGGGGCCTCTTGGGGGCCTCTTGGGGCCTCTTGGGGGCCTCCGGGGGGCCTCTTGGAGGCCTCTTGGGAGCCTCCTGGGGGCCTCTTGGGGCCATCTTGGGGCCTCTTGCGACCTCCTCAGAAGCGCAAAGGAGCGCTACCCCCTGAGAAGGACAAAGTGAGCCCAAAACCTTCGTAAAATCAATGATTTTGCTATGAAGGAAAATGAGCGCGGCCCCCTCAGAAGGCCAAAATGGGGCCAAAACCTTAGTAAACTCAATGTTTTTTTGCTTCAGCGACGAGTAGAGGCACCAAACTCCCCCCCCCCCCCGGGCCAGAATCCTCGTGGGGGTCGTCGTTTTTTGGCCCTCCCAGGAGTCGAAAAAGGCCCCCCTTGACACCACTCGGAACTCCCTCTCCAGGTCCAGGGGAGGGGGTAGGGGGAGGGGTAAACCCCTCCCCGAAGGGGAAGAAGGGGGGTTGAGGACAGAGAGAGCTCGCTAAACCACTCACGCCCAAAGGGCTGGTGGGATTCAGTGATATTTTGTAGCTTGTTGGTGGGTTTTCGTATTTCAGCCTTTTCGGCTTCCCGACGCTCCAAGACGGTCCAACAGGTCCCACATATCAATCCCAAGAGGGCGCCGAGACGGCCCAAGAGGCCCCCCACGACGGCCCAAGAGGCTTCCAAGGCAGCCCAGTGGAGCCCCAATAACGCCTCAAGAGAGAAACCCCAGAGGGGTTTAGCATACGCAAGTTGCTCGTGTTCAGGGCCACGTCGCGCAACGCCGCAGCCTCGAGGTCACACTCTTGTGGCACACCGATTAGTTTGCCTGACCTCTCCGCGCGACCTTGATTCGGCAAAGCAGCAACCCGATACGGGGGTTGTAACATTTTCATTGCTCGGGCATGGTTCCGCGTATGTTGCCACACGCTTCTGTTCATCGTGGTGGGACCGCAGCCGTCTGGCTGCGACGGCACCAACGACTCGGTTGCGACGGCACCCGCGGCAATTCAATAGTTGATACGGTTGTGACAGGTTGTGTGATGTCGCTCGCAGCAAAAGGGAGAGAAAGAGCGAGAGAGAGAGAGAGAGAGACCCCAGAGGGCGAACACAAACCGACATTTCGAGCTCTCCGCCCCGTGACCAAGAGGCCCCATGCGGTCCCCAAGATGCCCGCAAGAGGCCCCAAGAAGTCCCCGAGAGGCCCCCAGGAAGCTTCTGGAGGCTCCCAGGAGGCCCCCAAGAGCTCCCCGCAGACGCCCTGAGGCACACCTGACGATTCTCGATGCCGTCCCATCACCGAGTGCCAGTTGCATCCCATGTCCCGTTCGCCCGCCCGACTATGCTTCTTTCGCGCGTCGTCGTCGTCAGTGGTTCATGATACCGGAGGAAAAACCTCAATCAAAGTCTTTTCAGGGCTATAGGGCTATGGGGCTATTGGGCGATAAGGCGATGGAGCTGTAGGGCTATAGGGCTACAGGGCTACAGGGCTATAGGGTTACAGGTCTATAGGGCTATAGGGCTATAGGGCTGTAGAGTCATAGGGCTATAGGGCTGTAGTGCTGTAGGGCTATGGGTTTCTGGGGCTACAGGGCTAGGGCTATAGGCATACAGAGCTGTAGGGCTGTAGGGCTATAGGGCTGCAGGGCTATAGGGCTATAAGGCTATAAGGCTATAGGGCTATAGGGACATAGGTACATTAGGGCTATTGGGCTATAGGGCAATTGGGCTATTGGGCTATTGGGCTATAGGGCGATTGGGCTAGTGGGTTATAGGGCTATAAGGCTATAGGGCTATTGGGGTATAGGACTATAGGGCTATAGGGCGAGGGGGCTATGGGGCTATATAGCTATAGGTCTTTGGGGCTACAGGGCCATATGTCCATAAGACTTTAGGGCAACAGGGGTATGGGCTTTAGCGCTATTGGGCTATTGGGCTATGTGGCTATAGGGCTATAAGGCTATATGGCTATATGGTTATAGTATATATGGCTATAAGGCACCCGGGCGGGCCGCGGAAATCGGAAACACACTTCGTCTAACCATACGAATCCGCTAGGACCCCTACAGAGGCAATATTCTAGACGCCTCGCGCAATCCCGCCAGTCCATCCAGAAGTGAGGCCCAGACGAGTTGCCCTGATCAGGGATGTGGAGGAGAATGCTGTGGAAGAAAGGGCTGGGCAAGACGTCGTACCCAAAGAGGGGGAGGATGGAGGAGGAATCGCAGGAGGAGGAGGAGGAGGCGGAGGAGGAGGAGGAGGAGAGAGGAGGAGGAGGAGGAGGAGGAGGAGGAGGGAGGAAGAGGAGGACGAGGAGGGGGAGGAGTAGGGAGAAGGGAGGGGAGGAAGCCCGCTCGCCCGCCCGGCTCTATGCTTCTTTCGCGCGTCGTCGTCGCCAGTGATAAACATTCTAGACGCCTCGCGCAACCCCTCCAGCCCGTCCAGTACCGAGGGCCGGACGAGTTGCCCTGATCAGGGATGTGTAGGAGAATGCCGTGGAAGAACGGGCTGGGTAAGACGTCGTACCCCAAGTGGGGGAGGATGAAGGAGGAGGAGGAGAAGGAGAAGGGGAGGATGGCGGAGGAGGAGGAGGAGGAGGAGGAGGAGGAGGAGGAGGAGGAGGAGGAGGAGGAGGAGGAGGAGGAGGAGGAGGAGGAGGAGGAGAGCGAGCAGAAACAGAGTCCTCTTGGATGTTTTTTGGAGTCTGTTCGGAGTTCTTTCGAGCACGTCTTGGGGTCCTCTTGGGGGCGTCTTGGGGGTCTCTTGCTCCCGGCGGCCGCTTGAGGCGTCTTGGGTGCCTGTGGGTGCCTTTTTGAGCCTGTTGGGGATCTCCTGGCAGCCTCTTGGCGGCATCTTGGGGGCATCGTGGGGGCCTCTTGGGGCCTCCTGGCCACCTCTTGGGGCCGTCTTGGGGCAACCTTGGGAGCCTCGGGGACCATTTTGGGGCCATCTTGGAAGGTCTCCCAGGGGCCTCTCGGCGACTCTCGGGCACCTCTGGAGGCCCTCGTGCTCCGGGGGCCATCTTGGAGGAGATGGATCAAAGGGGTAACGTACTACATTAGGGTCCCCCCAGGAGGCCCAACTGTGGCCCAAACCCGTTGTACATGGACGGTGCTGGCCTTCTCGCCGAGGCCTCTTTCGGTCTTGGGGCCTCTTAGGGCCTCCTGGGGGTCTCTTGGGAGCCTCTCGGGAGCAATCCGTGGGCAGGGATTCAAGGAGTGGACTCAGCACTCCATGGCCGCTGGTGCTGGCGGCCTGCATGCCTATCGACGGGGCCCGCGCGGCTGGGCACCCGGCGACGAGTTCCATGGGGCCCCAGCGCACGGCCCAGATCGCGCGAAGGTCGCGGCGGCGCAGTGGTCTTCGGAAGTCTGGGGAGTCAGAAACGGCAGCGATCACTTCCGCCCTCTGCGGCCACCAGCCAATGGCGAGGCGCTGCCCATGCCGTCGGCCGATCGGGTCCGCCAGGCGGCGAACCTTCAGGCACAGCACAGGCGTCGGCAGCGACCGATTCAACCCCAGGAAGGCCGCGGACCTCAGCGACTACCTCCTCGAGGCGGTCATCGACTTCGGCATGCAGTGCGAGGAGCGCGGGGGCTGGCCCGACGTCAACACCAACTCGTTAGTGGTGATGCTTCCCAAGCCCCAGGGGGGCTTTCGTCCCATCGGGCTGCTGGGCTGGCTTCCCCGCCTCTGGAGTCGCGTCCGCCAGCCCGACGCTCGGCGATGGGACTCCCAGATTGACCCAGGCGTCGCAGGGGCATTCTGGGGCGGCCGAAGGCGCGCAGCGGAGGAGGCCGTCTGGTGGCAGGCGCTACGGTTATAGGCCTCGCAGGCGCGCGGCGAGGGAGCAGCCGCAGCCCTCATCGACCTCTGGACAGCGTACGAGCTCGTCGACCTGGCGATCATCCAGGACCGCGGCACCCTGGCTAACTACCCGCGGGGGCTGCTAGGCATGGCCCTCACACTGTACGCAGGCGAGCGGCGGCTCATGCTCGACGGCAGTGTATCCGACCCCTTCCTGCTGGACGCGGGCCTCATCGCGGGCTGCTCGCACGCGGGGGTGCCCCTCAAGTGCGGCCTGCTGGTGCTCGCCGGAGAGCGCGCCAGACTACGGCGGGTGCTCGAACCGAGGGAGGGTCACCCTAGCAGATGGGCGGCGCCGCCTTCCCCATCGCCGACTCGATCAAGAACCTTGGGGTGGTGGACTACTGCCTCGACGGCCAGGCTTTCGTGGTTCTGGAGACGCGCCGCACGAATGCGGCCGCCCAGCTGCAGAGGCTGCATGCGATCCGCTCGCAGGATACCCCAGCGGCGGCTCGCGTGGCCAACGCGGGGCTTCGGCCAGCCACGCGGCACGGGCTCAGCGTGGTTGGCTGGCCATCCCCGCTGCTCGCAGAGTGGCGGGGGCAGGTGAACGCCGTCCACCACGGGCAGGGACCTGGCAAGAGCCTCAGCCTCAGCTTCCTCCTCAGCTAGCGCCTGGCCAGCGACCCGCTCTTGGACCACGTGACACTGCCCATCGTGGCGCGAGCCGAGGCCGCGCAGTTCAACTCGGACCGCGCCGACTTGCGGGCCCTGGGCAGCGCCTTCGCAGGTGCCCTCGCGAAGAGGGAGGTTGAGGGGCCCGAAGCCCTGGTGGGCAGGTGTCTTCCGTCGGCATGCGCGCTGGCGTGCCATCGCCTGGGCTGGTCAGCTGCTCGGCCAGGGCTCTTTCTACAACGACCTCCAGCAGCCCGTCGACCTGGAGGCCTTGGGCGCGTCGACGCACGCACGCGCGCCAAGCGCGTCGCCGCGGGTCGCGAGCGGCTCTCGTGGAGAGACGTGGGCAACCGCCCAGGCCAGGATCACTTGGCTGGAGGGGGGGGGCTGTCCGAGGAGGGAGGGGGAGGGGCAGCAAAAGGGCCGGGCCAGGGGCCAGGAGGGAAGGGCCGCCCGCGACGAAACTGCGGACCCTACGGCGGCGACGGGAAGCGGTCGTGATGGGCGTCAGGAACCGTTGTGGGCGTCGGGAAGGGCGTCGGGATCGTTGCGGGCGTCGGGAAGGGCGTCGGGGTCGTTGTGGGCGTCGGGAAGGACGTCGTGGTCGTCGGGGTCGTTGTGGGCGTCGGGAAAGGCGTCGGGAAGGGCGTCCGGAAAGGCGCGGGGCGCCGGCCGAACTCAGCGCGCTGCGGCTTGGCGGGGAGGGGACCTCTGCGGCATCACCCACCGCCCCGCCGAGGAAGGGGCGGCCAGCGGTGCGGGGGGGCGCCGGCGCGCCACCCGTGGAGGGGCGCGGGGGGGGCGCCCGCGCTGCCCAGTCAGGGTGGGGGTGGGGGTGGGTGGGTGGGTGGGTGGGGGGGGGCGCTAGGCTGCGCCCGCGAGGTGGCTCACGCGGCGTCGGCCGTGGAAGCAGCTGCGGCAGCGTTTAAGCGGGCCGCAGCCACCCCCGCCCCTCCGGACTAGACCTGGAGGCGCCGCAACACCGCCCGCGCATTCTCCCTGTGCAGGGAGATGGAGAGTCGCTGGGCGTGTCGGTCCGCTACAAGTGCGGCGTCTCCCCCCGTGGCGTCAGCCACCCGCTTGGCCAGGGCCCCGAAGGCCCAGCGCGCCTCGCGGCCCCGCCCGCCGCCGTGGGCCCGAGCAAGCAGACGGTGAAGCAGATGAGCTCGGCCAAGAATGCGGTGGTGGGCTGCCTCTGGCAGCGCCCGTTGGTTTCGTCGCCGCGGTGCTCCCGAGGGTGCCCAGCTCATTGCGCAGTGCGACACTTGGCGCGGCAGTGCCCCGCTGCGGCGCTCGGGCGCGCCGAGTGGGGGGCGAACGGCGACGCCGACGAGAGGCGGCCGCCCGATGACATCCACTTCGGGGCCATCGTCGACATGGTCAGCCTGGGCGCGACGGACGATCCCCTCTGGTCGCGGGCGCTGGCACCGGAGCACAGGGGGCCCCTCCCTCATCCCGCGGTGGACAAGATGGCGCGCAGGGAAGGGCGATCCGACCTGGCGGGGCAGCCACTCATGGGCGACCTGTTCACGGACGGCAGCGTCGTGGACCCGAGCCTGGTCTTTTCGCGTGGCGGCTGGGCGGTGGTCGTCGTGGGGCAGGAGGCCGAGGCCGTCA